ACTGATACAGTAATACCACTGCACACTTATCATTGGTCCACACGGATACAGTAATACCACTGCACACTTTATCATTGATCCACACACTGATACAATAATACCACTGCACACTTTATCATTGGTCCACACGGATACAGTAATACCACTAGTACACACTTACCATTGGTCCACACTGATACAGTAATACCACTGCACACTTATCATTGGTCCACTGATACAGTAATACCACTGCACACTTATCATTGGTCCATACTGATACAGTTATACCACTAGTACACACTTACCATTGGTCCACACTGATACAGTAATACCACTGCAATCTTATCATTGGTCCACATGAATACAGTAATACCACTGCACACTTATCATTGGTCCACACTGATACAGTAATTAATACCACTGCACACTTATCATTGGTCCACACGGATACAGTAATACCACTGCACACTTTATCATTGATCAACACACTGATACAGTAATACCACTGCACACTTTATCATTGATCCACACACTGATACAGTAATTAATACCACTGCACACTTATCATTGGTCCACACGGATACAGTAATACCACTGCACACTTTATCATTGATCCACACACTGATACAGTAATACCACTGCACACTTTATCATTGGTCCACACGGATACAGTAATACCACTGCACACTTATCATTGGTCCACACAGATACAGTAATACCACTGCACACTTTATCATTGGTCCACACACTGATACAGTAATACCACTGCACACTTTATCATTGGTCCACACGGATACAGTAATACCACTGCACACTTATCATTGGTCCACACAGATACAGTAATACCACTGCACACTTTATCATTGGTCCACACACTGATACAGTAATACCACTGCACATTTTATCATTGGTCCACTCGGATACAGTAATACCACTGCACACTTATCATTGGTCCACACAGATACAGTATACCACTGCACACTTTATCATTGGTCCACACACTGATACAGTAATACCACTGCACACTTTACATTG